AGATTTTTATACTTCAAAAATCAACACACTTCCATACTGCAAATTCTAGCAAATTAATCATAATAGGCATGGAAATTTAATACTTAGACATGCTTTACAACGTAAAAATTTCTATAAATTATATTTCATACTTTCTAATCACCAAACTTGCACTAAAGGCACAAGGGCTGAATTAATCAACAATTTACATGCTTCATCATTATATATATCAAGCAACACATAGTCACAACTTTGGAACAATATATATATATATATATATATATATATATATATATATATATATAATAAAGCATAAAATTTCTACAAATCAGGCATGTTATTCACCAATTAAAAAGAGTAATTCACAAAAAAGCCAAAGAACATATGAATTAGAACCCCTACCTCACTTAAATGTAAAAACTCTCAAATGGGTTCAAAATTTTGAAATCCTTAGAGTGCACCAAATGATGAATTGCTTGTACTCACACGTAGATCTCGCCGAGCTTTTCGATTTGCCGCAAACGGCACCCAAAAGTTTCAAGTGGTTAAAGAGTAATCAAAGAGTGAAATTCATAAAGAAAGAAAAAGAAAAATAAGAAAAGTGAGGAAGAGAAAGCTTATGCCGGGAAAAGAAAGAATAATAAGGCCAAATGGCCTCTTGGCCACTAAATTAAAAAGTAAGTGGTGGTGGGTCCCACCACAAAAAGAATATCCCACTATTAACTTATATATATATGTGTGTGTGTGTGTGTGTGTGTGAACAAATTATAACATTACATGGTGAGAGTTTGATCTTATTAGATGTATTTCATAGAAATTCTCTATTGATCATATTAGGTATGCATTAGTCACCTAATACACACAGGATTGCATGGAAACAAATTGTTCCTCAGCATCTTTAGTTTTGAGGGATTAAGGCTCATTTCATATTCATTTTCCGAGTAAAAAATTCAAGCTTGAACAACAATTTGAAGGTCATAATTTTGATGACTAATCAAACCTGAATAATCAGGCCATAACTCGGTTAGACTCGCAGAAATATTGGTGAAAACAATAGTCAAAACTTGCAAACTTGCCTCGTTCGAGTTCAAGCTTGAAATTTGCTTTCTTAGTAGTTCAGACGTACCAATAGACCTCATTAATTATTTTGCTATTGTAATGACCCGATCATTTTCCTCCCCTTTTTTTTCTCAAATTTTACGAATATTTTTTTTTCGTTGTCTTTCCTTTTCTGAGTTCGGTTTCTCGTCTCTTGGTGTTTTCTCGAGTGCTCGAAAATGGTTTCTAAGACTCTTTCCTTTGGATTGACAACTTCCTTATTAGGACCGCGTCATTTCCACACTTTCATTTTTCGATACTCTTCACTTTTCGTCTTTTTCTCAGTTCATCTCTTTTTGACACAACCTCACTTTTCATGCTTAGAGTTGATTTTTGACTTTGCGTACCTTCATTCTATGTGGTTTCCATGAAGCACATATCTTTACTTTTGTAGAAAAGTACTCTGGTTGTTCTCGATGTCCATAGGGGCATGGATGCAAAGTTTCTTTGGAAACATTCTTCTTTCTTGGGATGTTTTTCATAAATATCTTTTGAAGATATTTTATTTCAGAGGTTTTTAAGAAAGTATCTTTTGGAATATATTTTCATTCTGGCCCAGTTTTGCAGTTATCCTTTCTTGGAGGGGCCATTGTGTAATTAATGAAAGTTATTGCAAAATGCCTCATTTTGAGCCTTGATCCTCGTATGTGATTCATTTTCACATTTCGTCAAGTCGTGTACTCTTAGAATTCCCTTCCGGTCATTTTCCCTAGTTTTAGGATTTTCGGCTCCGAATACCGCTGAATTTGTTCGGGGCATATCTTTCTGCACGGGATTCAGTTTTTAATGCCGTTTATTCCGTTGTTCATTTTTTTTTATTTTGGTTCTTTTTCATTCATAGTGTTTTACTGTTTGAGCGCGTTTGCACAAATTCTACTTTTCCGGACCCGGCGGAACCCGTTCGGGGCACTTTTAGGGTTTTACTATAAATAGGTTGCCCTAAAGTCAAAATCAAAATTTTCCATCATCTTCTCCCCTCTTTGGCCAACAACCATGGCAGCCCCTTGGGCTGCCACCTATAACGACCCAAACCCGTGAGTCCATACCGTTAGCCGGGTCCTTACTCGAACCGAAGGTTACCTAAGTCAATCTTGTCATATCTAGTGTTAATACATCTTTATTTCATCACAAATATACTTTATTCAAGCTCTAAGCAACTTCCAAAGACTCAGGATGAACTATGCCGGAAAATGGAACAAGGTGTACTATGCAACACCAGTTCGGTCAACTGAAATGGGTCTCCGGTCGGCCGAAGTGAACCCTCTTGTACCAGTCAACCGAAGTACCCATTTCAATCAGCTGGTTGTCAATCCTACAGTAACTGAGGCTACTAGATGAATCGATTGGCCGAAACAGGCATTTCAGCCAGCCGAAATTGCTCTACGAACTGGGTTTCAGCTACTGGTATGCTGTGAACTTGAAAATGAGCAATGGTAACTTTAAAGACTTTGAAAACTAGGTCATTATCTAATCTCAGGCATCCCATACATGACACCACATTCTGTAATTAAAGCATCAACTATTAGTCACTTTACAACACTATTTCCCAATCATTTCCTACATGATAACAAAGTCTTTACACTTAATCCAATTTACAATATAATACTGTTAAGAGTACATACTTACATTTCAAGGCCATGCTATACAAGTTGAATTATATCTCTTAGGTGAGACTTTACAAAAGAGTGGCCCAAAATACAAAAGGCAACAAATTATGCTTCTAGTCTCCTCATACTTATAGTGGATTGTCATCCACCACTTCCTTCCCATGACTTGAAAAATGTTAATTTGATGGGGTGAGCATAAAGCTCAGTAGGGTGTGCCTAAAACGAACCCCTTAACAATCCCGTGAATCCAAATAAAGAACGACATATAGAAAAGGGATCATTTTCTTTTTGGGGAAAATAAATTTACCATCACACATCTTTATATATAATCCATAAACAATGAGTGTAATGATATATGAATCCAAGAGATGCAATGTCACTCCCATTTTCGCATCTTTTCCCAAAATAATTTTTCTTTCCTTTCCGAAAACACTTTCCCTTCTTCTCCAAAATAATTCTTTTTCTTTTCCTCACCCCATGCTAATGCATGACTGTATATGCAATTCAATGTCATGAAATTCCATGCTTTTGAACTTCAATAACATAACAAGCTTAAAAGGAATTCAACACTACAAGTAGAAAAATATTGTTACTTAATAAACATAGCATTTCACTCAAAAAGATCATAGTACAATATGCATTTAACACCAATTTTCACAACAACTCACACAATCATGACATTCAACACTTTTCTCTACATTATACATGGAGATCATGCTTAAAATCATAAAGCAAGCATATTAAATCGCAATTAGGGGATTAATTCACAAAAATCCAAGGAGTATTTGCGGTTTAGAAATCCCTACCTCATTTAGATACAAAAACTCTCAAATGGGTCCAAAATTTCAAAATCCCTAGAGTTGGCCAAACAAGGAATTGTTTACACTCACATGTAGATCTCATCATGCTCTCTGATTTGCTGCAAACGACACTCAAAAACTCCAAAAGATTGAACTTGATGTGCAAAGAAAAAAAAAAAAGTAAAACAAAGAATGAGAGGGAGAGAGAGCTTTATGGGAGAGAGAATAAAGTGAGGCCTAAATGGCCTTATGGCCATTAAAACAAATGAAAGTGGTGGGTCCCACCACCAAAATATCTTTTAACTTTATTTTTGCACCACAAAATTCGTACACTTACACCAATTATATTATAACCACAATTAAACATATCACCACATAAAATACATTAAATAAAAATGAATGTGATGCAAATGGACCTAAACAAAATCCCTGTACACAACAATTCCAGTAGCAAGTCCCGCTTGGGACTGTCCAGCCCGAAAAGCAAAAAAATACCGAAATGACAACCGATGCATTTTCAAGAGTCCTGAACTCAATGGAATGCCCCAACCAACTCTCGGACATGCTCGGTACACCCCAAGGTGTTTGGCACTCAAAATGAGTAAAGACAAAAATGCCCTCGAAAAATTAAAAAATTTCAAAAAATAAAAAATAGGAAAAATTAAAAGCGTCACACCACCATTCTTTCTTCTGCTCCACTTTCTTCCCTTAGTTACTTACTTCGAGCCTTAGCGTTTATCGAAGGCCTTGGCGAGGCGCACATTTCCCCCTTATTAGAAACCATTTCCGACCATTTTTTAGTTTGGGTTTCGAGTTTGGCTTTGAATTTTCATGGTACCTCAAAGGTTAAAGTTGCTTCCCTCATTGTCCCCGACATAACGTAGGAGTATCGTCAGATTCGGAGCACTTTTATTTCAGTGGGGAATTGAGATTTTCATCTCAAACCGAGGTAAGGCATGTCTTAGGTTCATATGTTGTATTGAATGTAATTCATGCTTATACAACATATTTACATGCCTTTGTATCAAATCTAGAAACTTAAATTAATTATTTCTTTGTGTAAGATTTAATTCTCCCAGTTTGTTATAGCTTGGATTAAACTTGTAGCATGTTATTAAATTAGACCTTGATATATTCATTGACATATATTAAATTGGGAGCATTTGAACAAGTATTGAAATTTTTATTTAATTATTTTCTTGGATGAAAATTTAATTCATATGGTTGTATCTAGCTTTAAATCAACATGTAATGTAAAGGCCAGTTTTATTTTTCCATTTTTTTTAGCTACAATTTTTTTTTTCTTTCCTTCCCATGTGCATTGTGTCTTTCATGACATGGGATTTATTGTGAGGCAGGTACACATATATATATATATACACGTCTAGATACGTTATTGGGGCAAAATTGGAGTTTTTGTCTTAAGGAGGGGCAAATGAGTAAAAGGCTAGGAGAGAGAGGGATTATAAATATTTTGGTTGACCCATTTTTTTTTGGTAAAAATATCCTCTTGGTCAGTAGACTATTCCTTCTCCATTTTCCCTTTTTTTTTTTTTTTTTTTGGTTATGTTTATCTCCTTAGATCTAGAAGTTCAAGGCCCGGTTTGATCATCTTCCGCCCAGATTTGTCAAAGTCGTAGAAGAGAAAAACAAAGAGCTCGATGAGAGCTTCAACCCCATGGTCATGGTTTTTCAGTTAAGCTATTTTCATTCACTGGTCAATTGGGATTTTTCTCTCTAAATGAGGTATGAGTGTTTAACTAGCATTTACTTTAGTTGTGTATGTATGCTTTGTGATTTTCGTAGTTTAAACATAACTTGGAGAGTTTGATCTAATCATGTTGTACATGTATCACTGTAGGTAGTTTTACAGATATATATATATATATATATATATATATATATATATATTTGTGTTTAAGCTTTAATGTCATGTTTTTATGATGGGAAAAATAGGGAATTGTTTAGTTGCTGGAAATTGAAATTTTTCCTTAGACCTTGTTCATAAATGAATTTTTGTAATGGGTTTTGGTGCTCCAATTGCTACCAAATGTTTACCACATGTTCCTATACCTTCCTGGTAGCTTTCAAATTAATTTCCAAATTTTTGGACTGGTAGCTATTTTTATAAAAATTTGACTCCACATGCTGTTTGTGTTTTTATTGCTATTGGAAAATCAATTTTTGGATTATTTATTCCATTAAATTATTAATACCAGAGCATGGCAAACAAATTTCAGTTTTATACTACCACGTGTCTTTTTACAAAAAAAAATTTAGTTTGTCCAATTCGTCTGTGACGTGATTTTTCTACAAATTTCTTAAGCTATGCTACCTAGATTTTCATCAAAATAAGGATGTTTGTTTTACTTTTTAAAAAACTATTTTAATTAATAATTAATCTTGTCAAAATAAAATTATAACATAGAAATATAGTCAATTAGCTTCCAATGAGCCTTGGTTTTATTCAATTTGGTTGAGAAATGAATTTACTAATAATTTTCAAAGTTAGAAGCTATTTGCTGAAAGTATGTTTTTTAGGCAGAATTTTTCTGTACTTTTGTATCAAAATTGTTTCAATTGGGAAAGTACTTGGTTAAAATAAATTGATATTTTTAAATTATAGTGTCTAAGCTTTAAATGGGCTTTAGAATAATTCAATTTGCTTAAGAATTTATTTTTTTTTATGAATTTTCAAAGTTGAAAGTAACAAGCTGAAAAATCTATTTTGTGGACAGAAAATTTGGAGCGTTTGGACAGAAAATTTGGAGCGTTTTCATTTTGATGGTAATTGGGATTCTCATTCCAATTAAGGTAGGGTTGTTTAATCTACAATTTCTTGGATCTTGGTGAATTATTCTTTCCTAATTTGTAGTATAACATGCTAAATTGTGATTAATTCGTGCTAAGTTATCTTGATGTTATGTACATGAGTTATAATTCCATATAAACTTCATGTTTAGTGATGTGTATGTTTGATTGTTGATGAAATATGAAATAGGCATGTTTAAATGATTATATTCTTAATTTAGATGTGTAATTGTTGAGATTGTGCTAAGTGTAAGCATGTTAGGTTTTGTATGAAATTCCTTATTAAGCATGTAAGTTGTTAAGGCTGAATTGTATAAGTTTATGCCAAGTATGAAGCATACATGCATCCATTGGGAAGGAAATGGGATATTGGTTTTGAAAGAAATGAAAAGGGTTTTAGGGCAAAGTTTTGGAAAAAGGGTTTACGAAAACCCGGCCGCCTAGGAATTGCCTAGGGACCGTGGCGTTAGTGTGGCCTAGAGGGAACTGGGGAGATCGCCCTAGCGTGGTTGAGTTATCTGGGTCCCAAATGACGCCATGGAGTTGCCATAGGTCAAGGACAGTTAGTCAATCCTTCTCTCGTGGCGCCATAGAGTTGCCATGGGCCGGGTTGCACTAACGATTTGGAAACAATAGTAGAAAAGGTTTTGAAAAATGGGAAGTGACATTGCATGACATTGTATCCCATTGCGCGACATAATTTGTCTATGACTTGATTATTATTGATGTTGTTGCTTTATCCCCCAGAATGTATGATCCCGTTCTCTTTATTCTCTATTCTTTGTATAGATTGACAGTGTTTTAAAAGGTGTGTCTTAGGCACCTTCTATTGAGCGGATGGCTCTCCCCTCTATTTATTAACATTTTTCAGGAAACGCAAAAGAAGTGGCGGAAAACGTTCCACCACAGGCCTAGTATGGATTAGAAGATCATTTTTTTTATTTTTTTTATCTAAGTCTCACTATTTTTTGTAAAACTTAGCATATTGTATTCTGTACTGAGACTTATAGACTCTTGTTATTATAATTATATTCATGGGTTATAACTTTAATATAAGTTGTCTAAAAGTTATAAGACATGTACTTTTGACCTTAGCCATGTTTTTGGGACTATAATTAAGATATTTGGATTAAATGGTATGTGGTTGTTGCATCATGAAATGAACTATGTTGAGGCATAATGGATGGATGAAAAGAATGTTGGAATGTATTATTTGCATTGCGTGTTAGGACAGGTTAGATAAGTTTTGAAGGTTCAAGAGAAGCCATTGCATTTTTATGCATTTAAGGAGGTTGTTGTAAGACCCTTTTTAGCAAAGATTATGCCAATTTTTTTTTATATGACTAGTATCAGTTTGGGTCATTATAATTAAATTAGGCCTTAGCATACTCTTTAACACATGTGAATTTGAGAGTATTCGGAGATGTTTTAAAATCTAGTAATAATTAATTAATTTGATTTGAAGTGTACTATTCACTTCATTGGATTTTTGACTTGATATTATTGATGAGCATGCCATATACTTTCATATATATTAAATCGAGAATATTTGATTAAGTTTTGAAATCTTTTATTTAATTATTTTATTGTATTAAGGTTTAATACTCATGCTCGTATCTTGCATGGAATTCACTTGTGTTATGCTATTAAATTAAGTCTTGACATGTTTAATAACATACTTTAATTTGAGAGCATTTAGATGAGTTTCAAAATCTAGAGATTTTAATTAAGTGAATTAATTAAAAATTTATTCAATGATTCCATGGATTTGATTAAGTTTCTAACTTGATAGTCTTGATTACATTGACAAGTTCTTTCACGTGTATCAAATAGAGAATAATCGGATAAGTTTGGAGACTTATATTTAATTATTTCTTTTGTATGGAATTTAATTCACATGGTTGTATCTTGTATGGAAAGAACTTGTAACTTAATATTAAATTAGTCCTTGACATGACCTTTGACATATCTTATTCGTAGAATATTTAGAGTTTCCTTGTAGTCTTGAGAATTTAATCATTTAAGTTGATTAAATTCCCTTTTTATGCTTCCACCGAGTTAATCATGCTTTGATATTGAATTCTTGCCAAATTTATAATTTGAAACTTGTTATATGATCACATGATAGTATTCAACGAATTGAAGTTATGATTTGACTTGTTAGCATACGCATTTACTTATATGACATTTAATATGCCATCGTAGCTTGAATGCCTAGGGCATACCTTGTGTGACCTCCATGACTTGTTTGCGCATGGTACTTGGCTAAGTTCATTGAATATATATATTATATCTTGATTTTCACAACTTGTTGATTTTGGGACTTGTGATATCAAACAAGAATTGAAATGGCTAGGACTTGGTTCTAGTACGGGAGATAGAGAGCTCTCTACAACAAAGTACAATTTTAATCCCGGTGATATCCGAGTATCCACATTGTTTGATTTTATCCTTAAGTTTCAAGTGTCCATTCCTTGAAGACTTAAGAATCTTTTCATATCATTGATTTCATCCTTCAGTTTCAAGTATCCATTCCTTGAAGACTTAAGAAACTTTTTGTGTCATTGATTTCATCCTTAAATTTCAAGTGTCCATTCCTTGAAGACTTAAGAACCTTTTCAGGTAATTGATTTCATCCTTGAGTTTCAAGTGTCATTCCTTGAAGACTTAAGAATCTTTTCGCGTCATTGATTTTATCCTTAAGTTTCAAGTGTTCATTCCTTAAAAACTTAAGAACATTTTCGTGTCATTGATTTCATCCTTAAGTTTCAAGTGTTATTCCTTGAAGACTGAAGAATCTTTTCGTGTCATTGATTTCATCCTTAAGTTTCAAGTGTCCATTCCTTGAAGACTCAAGAACCTTTTCGTGTCATTGATTTCATCCTTTAAATTTCACGTGTTACATTCCTTGATGATTTAAAACATTTTCATGTTATATGGAATGATCCTACATGAGTATCTTGACTTAGATTCTAGATGGCATGAACCATTTCGGTTATTAATGCATTCTAGGTTACAATTTGACAATTTGGGATACCTATGTTCTATTGCGTTACGCCATATGCTCCTATGTTATTTACTTGCATAAATATTGTGGTTTATGCTAGAAATGTTTTAAAGTAACTTAAAATGATCCCCGAGTCTCATCTTAACATAGACGTTAGGTGGCATGAGCCCCTTTGACATGTTTCACCTTAAGGTGATAATATTGTAAAATGTTAGGTCTATACATACTCATTCCCTACGAGTACCACAGGATACTCACCCCTCGTTGAACGTGAGCTGTTTCAGATACGAAGACTTGGTTCGAGATGCACATCATTCCTTGGATGACTTGTAACTTTTAAGTTTCCATTTCATGCAAATGTTAGCATGAAATGTCATTTTGTAACTTTATATGTTAAAACTTATATCTTTGATTCCATATATGTAACGTGTACATAAGTATACCTTTTACGATATATTTGACATGTATGAGATGAGGCCGGAGGCCAATGACTTTTATTTTGTATCCTATGTAACTTTTGACTTCATGAAATATTATAGAAATATTGAAAAATGACAAGTCACTGCTTCACCATGTTTGCATCGGGTGTGGGAATTTCATTTTTATTCTTTCATAGGGTCTCATTAATCATGTATGAAGTGTGGTCAAGGGCCAAACGGTAATTTGAAATCATTTGTTAATTTTGGTTTTCAAATTTTCCATTATAGTTCATTTTTTGCCGTCGAGGGGTCGTATTTTGCATCAGCCATTTTCGAGAGCCGTGGACCATTCCCGCGTGCTCAAAATCACTATTTACGTTTACATGTATGATTGTTTTTAGGTTTAGAGTCATATTTCACAAAATGAGCACTCTACAAATTTATTTTTTTACGTTTTTTGCACAATCTGATCTAAGGGCATTCTACACATTTTATAGCAGTTTTATTTTTTTTCTTTCGACATGTCGGGTAAAAAACGTGATTTTAGAGGAGTTTTCTTCTTCGTATTTCTCCAGAAAATGTTATCTTGGCATCAGAAATCCCACGCGAGTTCAGTTTTCTGTTATGCATTTTATCAGCTTTTTAACCTTCTTGACCTGATTTTCTTGGGGGGCATTCTGGGCATTTCACATAGTATTTTTTTTTTTTTTGTTTTCTTCTAAGGGGTTGGGTAGAAAACTAAATTTTAGGAAGGGTTTCTTCTTCGTGTTTTTCCAAAAAAACGCCGTCTTCATGTCCGTTTTTGCTCTCAGTTATGGAGGTTGCAGAAAAATCACACAGCAGCTTTTTCAAAGCTGCTGTGTCACATTTTCAAACCCTCATTTCTCCCTCATCCGGACTCCAAATCGAGCGATCTTTTTTTGAAACTTGACTAATTTTTCGTCATCTATCCAACGGCATGTTCAGTTACGCCCAGATCTTTCTGGATAATTACTAATTTACCCTTTTAGCTTTATTACTTGTTTTTCTTGTTTTGCCATTTCTTCTTCGTCCGGATTCTGAATCATGTGATTCTTGAGTCCATCTTGATTAATTTTTTGCTGTCTTTTCAGTGGTGTGCCCATTGGCACCTGAATTTATATTTTCAAAAAAATATCATCTTGCTTTTGGGGCTAAATTTGTCCGGTTTTCGTTTTAATTCGCTTCTGCTTATTTTCTTTCGAGTCCCGTGACTTCATGGGAAGTCATGCTTAGGTCTTAGAAGTGATGTACATTTCCAAAGACGTTGCTTCATGTAAAAAGACTATTTTGCCCCTGAGGGCTTGTTCAGTCTTTTTCTGATCATTCGTTTCCGCATTGTTCTTATTGAGATCCGTGATCTCATAGAAGGTCACTTTGGCTTCTTAGAGATGCATTGCATCTCCAGAGTCTTGTTTTCTGTTTTCGCTTCGTTCTTCACATGATGCACTAGCTTGAAAAACCAAGGCTGTCATAGATATGTAGTATAAAGAATACAAATTAATTTGAAGTTGTGTTTAGGAGTACTGAATCCGCTTTTTAAATTTGGAATCTAAAGAAATTTAATTAATATTTTTAACTAAGGTTTCGTTTGTTTCAACGAAAAATATTTTTTTTAGAAAAGATTTTCTTTTCTCCACGTAAAATATTTTTTATTTTTACTTTTTGGGTATTTGTCAAAGGTCTAAATTGAGATTGAGGTTTAGTCCTTGGGGCAGGATGTGTAAAATAATTTGCCTAATATTGATGGGTATGTTATTTTTGTTAAGTTTTAATATATTTTTTTTCTTTATAAATATTTTACAACAACTAAACACCAAAAAATAAATATATATTTTCTAAAAAAATATTTTACATCCAAACAAACGGAGCCTAAATTTCTTCCAATTTCAAATTCAAGGCACTGATTCGGTGCTCTCAAATATAACATAAGGATTAGTCCTTAATGCATGGCAAGAGTCTCCTGTCTTCTTCTTTCATTTTTTTATTTTATTTTTAATATATATATACTTTTTTTTATTGGAATGCTGATACAAATTCAAGAATTAATATGAGATTCATGTGTTTGTGGGGTAAATATTGTTAAGATCTCACACAAACAATTGGTAAACAGAATAAATAAAAGCACACATACAGACAAAACGAAAGTTATATAGTTCTGCAAATTGCATGCATTCATGGGCAAAAAACGACTATTTTTATTTCAAATTTTGATTACACACTTTTTTCTCTTCACACAAACTCAACTCACTTTTCCTTTATGTACAATTATCTCTTTTTTCTCTCTATCTCTCTACTCAAATCCATCTCTATTTATAGAACACTTAAAACCTTAAAATATTACCTAATGAGAAAACTAATTTATGCAATTTTGACCCACAAACCCAACAAATATGAATAAAGAGGTAAAACGTAAAAACTGAACAAAAGCAATGAAATTTGGGGAAGACGAAACTGATTTATTAAAGTTGTGCATAGATCTTACAACAAATCTAAAGTTTTTTATTTTGTTTACTAAATTTTATTTTTATTTTTTATATGCCAAGTATTCCACTGAAAAACTATAAGTAATGCAAGCAGAAGAGGATGACTTGAACGACAGTAATAGGAAGAAACAGAGTAAGGAGGGGAAAAGCATTGTAGCAAGCTCCATCGATATGAACCTCTATCGATATGAAGAAACAAAGCAATTTTTATTAGGGTTTAATTTGAAAGCAATAAATTCAAATTTGAAAACATTTAACCCATTTATTTATTACAATTATTGTACAAATGTTCGGGGTTCAACTGAAAGAGTCCTCTAGAAAATCAAAGTTGAGAAGATAAATTAAAACCAAATAGTCTACACGAGAGTTGGGCATTTGCGTGTGAAGATGGCTGCATTTGAAATTAATCTTTAAAAAATTCAAAGTCATACAAGCAAAGAAAGAGAGGGAGACTTAAAAGTCGGTCAACATTGACTTGTATGAATAAAAACATGGAAGTGTTTCCAAAGCTATTGTGTGCATAATTCATCTGCATTTAAAATCAAAGTCAAGCCATTTCTTGACAGAATGGGATGACTTAATTATTGGTGGGCCCAGTAAGTGGAGATTGGATAAGGAAAGGGGCTAAAAAGGATTCTATATATCATTATACTTCTAAAGACTACCTCTAATTTGAGAGATTCATTTTTCATGCTTAATTAAGTTTACAATGCGTTTGAGGTATCCAATCGACATAAGACGAAAAAAAAATCTACCATTACAATTGAATGTATAGTAGCTCTACAAATGTAATACATATTTTTAATATTATTTAATATTTAAATATGAGTTAGAATATTATTGATTCACATCAACTTTTTTTCTTTTCTTTTTTTTTTTCTTTTTTTTTTTTTTGTCATTTAAAGGCACAAAGGCCGAAAGCCAAGATGGCAGTACAGAGGCATATAAAGCCAAGCCAGAAAAGACATACAAATCGTGAAGCAAAGCAAATAAATGAAGAACATGCTCCAGATTTGGAGAGGAAACAAAGTCCAACACTCTGCAAACGGAACCACCACGAGAAAAAGTAACAAACTGGAGAGACCGAAAGGTCTGGCCATCAACACGGTAACCGCTCCAAATGTACAACCACAAGGCGCCCTAACATATAAAACCCCGCACAAGATCTACTCAAGGAGAAAATGAGCAAATCTAAGCGGAGAGAACCCAAAACCAGCCTAGATCAGAGATGTAGTCGGAAAAGAACAACAGATCTGCCCAGGTGAGACGAAAACGAAACAAACAAGAGCAGATCTAGCCGAATATAAACAAAAACGACGTAAAAAATACTCACGAAACACACTTATTCGAACATGTCGGGTTTATTACATCTGAGGTAGGCATCTAACAGCTCCCCACTCCCATGGAAGGGAGCAGGGAGCTCCAAAGGAAGAAAGAGACGCTGCTGTAGAGAGAGAAAGGTAGAGAGAGGTGGGTCAGTTAAGAGGATGTGAGAAAACTTAAATATTATCCTTATTAAATGGTTAAAAAACATGTTCATGAAATAAACATTAACTAACTCCTCTTTCATCATAAACTTAATTGTTAGATGATTTTTGCTCATAAAAATGAAAATAGATGACCCAAGTCAAGATTACTTCTCTATTTAAAATTATGATAAACTTGTACTTTTAATTAGGAAATTTTAAGCCAAACTCTAGTGGGCTCTCTAATCAGAGCTATAGATATACATACTATACCTCTAGTTGTCTGAATTTCAATTCCTCACCCAATGAAAAAGAACTTTTTGCCCATTCCTCACTTCGAGTGCGCTCTACGCAATCCCCACTATAATTATAGCTTTTGGCATCGTCGACTTTGACAATAGAAGCACTCCACATTTGTTTTATTCAATACTTACAAATTTGTAATCATAGTTGCAATTGGATGTACTCGGTTCCATTGTAAGAATACTTGAAATCTAATAAAATACATTAATTATATTTTAAGCATGAGAATGACCATATTACCCTTCGACTTCATTCTAATCATTGAATGACCCTATTTAATGACTGTTTTACCCTTTTTGGGTCTTCAACCATCAAAATTATGTTAATTGACCATTTTGTTATTGTTGGCCTTAAAATATTAATTTAATGGGAAATGATCATAGTACCCTTGCATGACCTCGGGTTCAAGTGAGGACCCAATTAGTGATTCAGATCCAACAGAATTGGATCGTTACACTATCATATTCAAGTCGAAATTTTATGTACCTACAAATGTAAAAATTGAACAAAAGCAATGAAATTTGGGGAACACGAAACTGATTTATTAAAGTTGTGCATGGATCTTACAACAAATCTTTTGAGTTTCTTATTTTGTTTTTTAATTTTTATTTTTTATATGCTAAGTATTCCTCCGCAAAATCAAAAGTAATGCAAGCAGAAGAGGATTACTTAAAACTAAAGGGTGGGTAGACTGTAATGGGAAGAAACAGAGTGAGGAGGGGAGAAACATTTTATTTTATAAGGGGTGTCAGACAAATTAAACCAAATTTGATGGGGGCGTCATAACAATTTTTACTCAGATTTAATCTTAGAGTAATAAATTCAAACTTTGGTAGTGTTAAAGCATTTAACCCATTTAT